ATCAGAAGATCTTGTTATTCAGTGGATTTGTCTCTGCAAAAATAATGTTTCCTCTGACACAAAAAAGTGGAGTCTCCAGGAGGCCAGGAGCATGATTTTAGGATGTGTGCCATTAATAATAAGTGTAGGCCTTCCCTACCCGCTCCTCATGTGGAATGCATAAATTCTGTGCCTGTTGAATAAATTGCATATGCTTGCAGATATTCTAAATATATCTACATACACACTGGCTGTGATACAGAGCTGGAATTGAATGGCTGAACACATATATCGGAGAACAGACAGAACCTGGTACCAGCATCACTCCATGTGCTACATGTACTGCACTGCAATGACAAATAAGAAATGAATCACTGCAATGGAAACAAAATATGCAGACGATTTGGATACCTAGGCCAGCAGCAATAAAGACAGTCCTTATAATCAGACATCTGCATATGTGTGATTCTTTTTCTCTGTCTCAATAAAACATGCAGGATGTGTTTTGTGTGTGCTGAATGAGAGTGTGTGTGCACATGTACGATTGTGGGTGTGTCATTAATAGGCTGCACTTCAGAGAAAAAGGTAGAAATCCACCAGATGTTTTGCAGCTGGGTGGATCTGGTAGTGAAGATCTAGACAGCGTCTGTCACAGGCGAACATTTCTAATCTGTCCTGAACATTAGGCAGAGAGCACTAAAACCCATCACTGGCCGCATGTGCTGCTCAGTTCACAATGTGCTAACCACAGGCCTTGTAGTTTGGCCCCGAGAAATTTCAAAATTAAACAAGAGAAAAAGTAATATTTATCAAGCTGAGCAGTGAAGAACCAATTTTAACTACACAATTCCTTTATCAAATTTTCAAACTCTTCTCCTTTAAGCAGAGTGTGGCTGCTAAACCTTTAGAAAGCAAAACAAGGACCAACAGTCTAACTGAAGTTATTAGAGCAAAGTGCCTGAAGCTAAAGACCAGCGCTTTGAACTAGAGGTCCAGCAGAGCTTAGTGAGGTCAAGATCTGTCAAACAGCAAGCAGAACTAACAGCACAATGTTCTGGATGGACATTTTCTTCAAAGAACTTCAGCTGGGATGACAAAGAAAGAAACTACGTATTGAAGCTATAGCATGCACATCCATTTACATGTTGACTTCATCATTTTAGTAAGTGTAAAGACTCTTTTGGAGAAAAACAAACCTCACAGATAGATGCAGCCCTTACAACCCACTTTATTTTTTGTTGAGATTGTTGCTGATTCCACATGGTATTTCCTGGAAATGTAACTAATAACTACATTTCTAAAGTGGCTACACAACTGCATTTCAGAGCTAACCAGGATGTGTTTAGCTAATATTCTCAGTTTGGGAACTGTGGGAATTGTTCCAAGCCGACCTTGATGGTCTGTAGATATTTCTCTTCCTGGGTTCATGTGCCTAGTTACCAGTTGGTCAACCTTGTGCCCTGTGAACTGACCCTGTCCTCCCTCCGAGGTTTGAAAGGAAAAGAAACCAAATCCTCCGGGGAGCGCTCCGACTAACAAGAAAACTGCTGGCCCGAATCTCTCAGAAGTGCTGTGTTTTCCCACTGGACCACTTTCAGCTTAATAAACATCTTAACTAGCCAGAGGTCCCATGGGAGCTGCTGGGAAATCCTCTGGGCAGCCAGAGCTCAGGAGCTGGCCCTTTATTGCATCCAGGTGGCTGTTAAAAAATGCTGGCCAGCCCTAAATGTCCAATAAAATGCAAGTGGCACCTTCAGGGGTGGACAGGGTCAGTGCACCTGTCTGTGGACGAAAGCTGCACTCGCTCCCCCTTGTCCAATCAGTTTGATGTCACACTCCTGCATTGTGCCATCACCATGCCCATGGAAGCATTACTGAACGGGCCTACCAAACACAGGCCAAGGGGTCCAAGGGGTTAGGGGGCCCTTGGCCAGAGCCAAAATGACCACATAGAGGTGCACAAAGACCACTACAAATAAACTCAAAATGACTTAAAAGACAAACAAAACGACTACAGGACACTCAAAGCGACTACAAAGAGAGACAAACCGATCACAGAAATTACCACAAAGAGTTGAATGCAAATATAAACAAAACAACCTAAAAGAGAAATAAAGACACAAGTGTAGTAGTCATTTGGTGTCTCTTTCAATTGTGGAGCCTTGCTCTGATGTAGGCAGGGAGGGGGATTTTTACATGTCTGTGCCCAAGGACCCATTGTTGGGGGTACGCCATAAGCTGCCACATGACATGCTCTAAATATATGCAGAAGTCCCTTTTATTTTTGTCATGATGTGTCCAGAAGATTAATCAAAACCTATCATCCTGCTGTATTAATGCACAATCTAAGTTTGTGGGATGCTTGTTGAAATTATGTTCAACCACTTCCAGTTTGTTTATGGCTACTTCGCACATATGTGAACAGTGGCAGCAGCCTCCCTTCATCTGTCTAGCCTGGTCGCTGTCCAAAGGGAGAGTTAATTGTCCCACAGGTTTTGGAAAGACCTGGACGGTGTATTGTGCCTTTGATCTAACTTGAAAGGAGTTAATTGATTTCTGTGTTAGAGGGAAGAAAAAAAGATGCTTGCTGGTCATTTCAGAACATGTGCAGGAATATCTGAGAGAGAGCAAGGGGTGGGGGCGGGGGTGGGATGAAGAGAGAGATCACCTCACACCCGACTCCATCCTTGCTCAATTACAATAATTTGACTCACATGGGCTGGCTGCTGTGGCAGAGAGAGAGAGGGGAGGAGAGCCGCTGTGTGGGGGAGGAGGGGGATCCCTGCTCTGGGAGATCACTCATTTTACCTCAAGCTGAGGTATGAAAAGACAGATTAGATGTGCAGCTCCCCGTGGAGGGAAGCCTGGGGGCTTGTTAAGGTTGCGGTATGGAGAAGACCACACGTTCAACCTCCTGCTTCATGTCTCAATGGGGCATTCCAGCATTTGATGACGTCCACATGGAACGAAGAGAGTCTGCTGGAGGTAACTGGTAAATGACAGAGTCGTTTCACTACAACCTGTGTGTCTCTGTTTCTTAAGATATTAGCACTTTCTCATTCATTAATTCTTGTTACAAAGCTTTTTCTGTTCAAGTTTCAGTCTGTCCCAGCATGCACTAGGCTGAAGGAATCACATTAGGAAGCACAATTTCCATGTTTGCTATTTGTTCTTGTTTTGAAAATACAAATCCAGTGAACATTAGATGTGGCTTTACAATTTCTGTCAATGTGATTTGCTGCATCACCTGCCTGTGAGTCTGTTCACCATCGGTCCAGGTCTGGTCTGGACCTGCTTTGACAGGCTTCCTGCCTTCACTCCTTCACCTCTCTCTGTCTCTGTTCACCCCAGCTCAAGGGGAAACAGGGCTGTCAGAGGGAGAGTGGCAGGCTAAGCCTGTCTTAACACAGCACCTCAAACCACCTCATAAATACAGGCTTCCTTTTCCAATTTCCAAGCAGCCCATCCACCTCTGTCTACATGCTTGCACACTGCTCCATGTCATGTGCTGGGGTGTGAGTTTAAAAATGACCATGGGACATCTGGTGGACTTACAGAGGGTGGGGCTTTGATGGGTTGCTCTGCAGTTCAGCTCAATTTTGTCAGAGTCAAATCCTCTTGGGCAACGCAGCAGCAGTGACTGAGAAGTCTAAAGTGGGCCTGGTAGGTTAGAGATAGCAAGGGAGTTTAAAAGATGCCTTTAAACAGATTTGCCATATGTGAAATGCTTGAGACACACAACCGCCCTTAAATACTCCTCTAGCCTTTAAACTACTGCACAGCTTAGAGACAAAAAAAAGGTTGCTTTCATTTTAATTTTAAAATGTGGTTCCAGAAATTCATTATTTTCCATATCATAAAGTGGAGAGAAAGGAAAAGTGAAACCATGTGAGGCAGCTTTTTGATGGGCGATGCTGGGCAGGGCTCATGAGGGAGTTGTGGTTCTGAAAGTAAGATTACTCCGTGCCCATCTGGAGAGTTTGGCTACGCAAAACGGGTGATTAACCTCATCTAAATACTCACATCTGACCTATAGAGCTAACGTCAGACTCAACCTGCTGTCCATCTCTGATACCAGCAACACCTGCAATGCTGCTCACATCGAGCACAACACTGAGATGTTACAGTGCAGGTTCTGCAGAAAAACATTTTCAAAGGATAAGGCTGGCAATATTAAATTTTTTTGTAATTGTCAGCATTTCTTTCAAGAGCAAAAGCAACAATGCAGTAGTCTATATCTTAATACTTTCCAACCCCAGCCTGTCAAGCCCCTTTGTTCCTATTGAAGACCAAAATATAAACTTCCATAAAAAAAAAAAAAATTGGCTCAATAATTCCCCCAAACTGGGGACTACGATTTTTTAGCAAACATTATCCAAACAGAAAAAAAAATAGTGCTTTCGGAGAGAACTTCTTTCATGCTGTGGATTTGGTGGTGGATTTTCAGCCGCAGGACAAGGTATGTGGAATGGACTCAAAATAAAATACAGTGCCCGTGTTTTATAATGACGGAACATTTCACCCAGTGCAACGAAAGGGTACATGAGGCTTCAGCTACACAGACAATACTTATTACTAAGATCTCTTCATTGTTGGTATTTGTTGTTTCGTTAATAATAGGAAAAATACAGAATATTGCTTTATCCTTTATGATGCTATTGCACACATCTTCTAAATATTGTTTCATCACCTGAAATGACATTGCACATTATCTGCTATACATTACATCCCAGTCTAAACACTGGGAGATGTGGACACATTATCTAAATAACTTTAAATTGATTTAGTTATTAGTATAATAGTGATATTATTAGTAGTTGCAAAGTTTTTCTCACTTATATCAATCAAAAGAGTAATGGTGGAAAATGGAGAGTTAGCATAGCTCCACCATACGCTTGTGCAGTCTGTGTGTGAATCTGGATTCATGTGGCATACTGTATATATGCACTTTATGCACAGCAGGAAGGAGGGCTGTCAGAGCCTGTCACAGTGCTCTAGGGCATCACTGACATGAGTGTCACCTTCATGAAGGAGCGTGAAAGCTGTTCCCTCTGCACAGGATTCTTCAGACCGTCGCTCTGATTTCAGCGGCAGAACAGAGGAGTTAACGCAAACGCTCGCAGAGGGTTGTCATCTGTTGTATGCTTCATTAAACACCTGTGAATACCAAGAGCTATTAGGATCTTTGGTCAGGCAAAAAAAAAAATATCTGCACTGTTAGCAGAATCCACAAGTTCACAAACTTAACAGAAGGAGAGTCTAATTAACAACAAGGGCATTAATCCATTAATGAATTTCTAATACTAATTACTCCTGCAAAAATGTGCAAATGTGGATTCTGACAATTTAATTAGCTGCAAATGACACGTGAGCAGAGGTGAGAGGATAGTGATGTTTTGGTATCCAAGTGTAAATTCTGCTTCTGGATCTGGCAGCAAAGTGGCAGCAGGGTTTTATTTAAGAAAAAAAAAAAGTTTGCTTTCATAAATAAATATTTGTTTAGAATATTCAGAAAATTAGGTTTTATGAATATAAATTTCAATAAAGCTACTACTACTACTACTACTTTTTCTGTACCCCCCCCCCCCTCAAAACCATTCTCTATACAGCTGTAGATAGGAATAACACATTTCAAAAGTGAAATGTATTGTGGTGTTCTTCGTAAAGACCTGACTGGGTAGAGGAGTCACTGATGACGTGGGTGGGCGTCTAGGGTAAAAGGCTCCTGTGTCTCAAAGCTCTGCTCATTCGTGCTGCACGCTGCTCATGATGAACTTTGTGATGGGAAGATGCTTCTACTGGAAAATGAACGTCAGAGGGGCCCGTTTGCGTGTGATGAGGCTGCTTCTCTGTTCACTTTTGTCCTCCCTGAGTGTTACTCACTGTCAGCATGGCCCTGTTAATGTGCTGAGCAAAATGTGAGTCACAGCTATGGATATTAATTAGTTTGATTTATTTGGAGCATGACTTGAGCAACACCTCTTCTAAGACTATCAGAGTAAGATAACACAAAAACAATCATTTAGAAAAAGTCACTTTCAATATAAATAAGTTGAACATTTTCAAAAATGTTATGTGCACAGTTGAACATTATCAAAAATACTTTAATCTGAATGGTTTAAATAGAATCCATCAAGGTAAAAATACATTTTCTGACTTAAATTAGCTTACATGATGTAAAGTTGATGTGTATCCCAAACTTTTTAATTTCATTAGTTCATTTTTTGGACAATGTTCTTTTTATTCCATTTATTGTGTTTCAGTCCTTGTGGCTCTATCTGTGAGGTTGTAAAAACTGCGTGGAAAGTTACACCGCAATGCTTCGCTCTGTGCTGAAGTTGTAGTAAAACTGCAAGAGAAGAGAAAACGCAGATGAATAAAAATATACTGTCAAAACAGGACAAAAACATCATCAACCTGCATTATCTCAATAATGAATACCAAAGCAATATCTACATTTATAAAACACTGCAATGATATGCAGCTTATCACAAACCAACACATTGGAAAGAATTTGAACAACTCTCTGAATGTTCTAGAAGGATAATAAACTATGTTATCCCACCAGTGAAAGTACAGGCCTACGTTCAGCCCCACAGAGTGCTTAGATGGTTGTCCAGAATGAAGATTGTGAAAATACAAACGAACACTTCCCCCTTCTGGCATGTCACAGACATGACTCTTTAAAAAGCAAAAGGTTTTCAAACATTCTTCACTCATGTGGCATTAAAAGGCAGGAAAGCCTGTGATTTTTGTTCAGTTTCACTGATTCTATAAATCATTATTTTAACTCCCTTCTAGGCAGAAACAGAAATGTTGGCACAAACACAAATACATTATTGAACAGACCTACAGGACATAACGTCAAAAATGAATACGTTAATAACTTTTTTAGTTAAGGTTATCACGGTTTCCAGCTAGACTCACTCCAACATTTTTGGATCCACAGAAATCTCAGGCCTCAAGTTATCTTGCAAAAAAATGACTCCCGAGTTTCACACAATGAAATACAGATGCTAAATTAAATAAAAAGAAAGCGCTGATATTCAATTTGTATTCGGAATCAGCAGATCCCCTGAGTTGAGATGTGAAGCGTTATCGGAAGAGAAAAAGTTGGAGCTGGTGCATCCCTATAAACATTAGCAGTTTCCCAGAAGAGCTCAGTCCTATAATGTAATTTAATCATTTTTCCTAATTCTATTCTATGAATCCAAATTATTAAGAATTGATTGTAAGAAAGACAAAGCTCCTTAAGAATGTGACTAAGGCGATGAAACAATCTACATTAACAAACAGTATAATGTTTGATTAGTTTTTGGTCAGACCATTTGAAAACACATTCATGATTTTGTTGTGGGTGTAGTCCCACTGGCTCAACAGTTAAGTTTTGTGACAAGTTAGACAGTTGTATTACTGCAACACAGCACTAGGTGATGCTGTATGATCACTGAAATAAGTTTCCAAATCTCCAACAGAAGCCATGGAGCCACAATGGCTCAACCTGGTCCTTTCGATCAAAATACCACCTTCCCTGATTTTCATCTAGTTGAGGGGAAGCTGCAAGTTACCCCAAACCTGTCACATATCACAAGCCTGTTAGTTGTGAAGAAATTCAGCCCCCCACCACACAAAAATTCAGTCTCAACATCTGGCACAGTAAATAAATAATCCTGTGTGTATGTGTGTGTGTGTGTGTGGATGATGGATGGGGGAATGGGGTGTTATCAGGGAGAGCATGTATCAATGTCTGCCAGTTTTACACACAGGCTGACAGGACAGTGACACACTAGAACATGGGCGGCAGTCACCTAGACGAGCCGAGCTTCATTTCCTGTCCCTGCTCCCCTGCCAAAAATATGTGACATGTTGTCTTCATTAATTCCACCTCTATTTGGAGCTCTCCCTCTCACACCTCTCACACAACCCTGTACACTACTGTCCCTCCATACATTCACATGGCAACACACACACACACACAGATAACTTCCTACAAACCCATCATACATAGGTGCTAATGAAAATTCTGTCATGTGTGCATGCACACTTCTTCTAGCATACTCCCTCTGAAAATCATTAGCCAGCCGCCAACAACATTTTTCAGCAGAGCAAACTACATAAAGATGTCACTTTAAATCGCTTACTAATTAACACTTAAAAAGACACAAATTAGATATGCGTGGCTAAAAGCAATTATAATATCCGCAAGTTTTGTGAGTCATTTGGGAAATGAAAAGAATGCCTAATTGCTGGAACCAACATCATCTGAGACACGGCTTAAGTGATGCCTGTTAGGAAATGGTCTTATCTACAACTGTGGCAGTGATTACAACAGTTTTCCTCAATTACATGTGCATATGTATAATTCTAGAAAGTACATCTCTTTCATGAATCTATATTTTTTTAATGGGTTCAGAACTGAAGCAATTAGATTCTGCGCTGAAAGCGCCTGTAGTTTATGAAGAGGAGAAAAAAAGCCCCACAGTCAAGCACGGACAGTGACCTCTTCTGGACAAAAGAAGGAGAAAATGCTCAACAACAGTTAGAAAACTGGAACAGTTTCAGACGAAAAACCAGCCTTTTCTGAATTTTAATATATTTTGTTTTATATTACCAAGAATGAGCTGCAACTTCTCCAGAAGCCTTGAGAACAGAAAACATAGTGGAGATTATATGTATAGTGTAATATTATTATAGAGGAAAAAAAACAAGCAGAGAGAAAAGAAAAAAGTACAATATTACAGATACACATCACTTTCTAAAAGAAACACTTCTGATGTTCAACATGTTTGCGAGAACATTGCCAACTATATTTTTCCCCTCTTGTTCTGCAGATATCATTGTGGTATAATAATAAGAGGAGAGAAGTAAAAACAACACAATGGTGAGGGATGTTTCCACTTGGAAACTAATTATCAAGCTAAGCTGTGACTTCATCCTCATCAGCCTGGCCCCACCATTAATCTTGTGCTGTCGTCCACTTCACTAAATCCTGTGTGTTACACTATCTCACATTTACTTCATCAGCTCCAGCGTGGCTGTAATTAATGATTTCTCATGCCCCTTCCCTTCCCTTCCCCAGCTCAGCTCACCATGTGTCCTCCTGCTAATCACACTCTCTGAGAAGAAAGGGAGGAGGAGACGAGAGGAAGAAGGAAAAAAGACAAGAGCATATAGGATGAGCAGCCAGCCTGTCTCCACCCTAGAAAACACCCACACACATACACGTACACGTACACATACACGCCATTAATACCTTCGCTGACAATGAGCTTCATACAGATGACCATTTGACAAGATGGCGACTCTGTGTGATTTGGATAGTATGTGACAGAAGACAGAGGCAGAGTGCAGAACAGACACCCGGTTTGATGGGGGAGTGTTTGCTCTGTAACACATCTCAAACCCAACAGCACCTGTTCTTTTACAGTGGTCTGTCACTTCCTGGCAGTTCTGATACCAAGATACCGTGCTAATGAGAGAGAAGGGGGGTTGTCACTCTCTTTAAAGCACACACACACACACACACACACACACACACACACACACACACATTGACTCTTTCTTTCTCTTGCTCTCACAAACACATGGGCTTTAAAGAAGGCGCTGCACACAGATGATTTTCTTCCTACGAATGCCTGCAGGCTACAGTGTTTCATCAGAAATTGGGAGGACTTTGTAGCTCTTTTATTTGCTCTACATGATCTCTAACTTTTTTGCTACTGAAGATGAAGGGGATTGGAAACTAGTTAAACATGCAAAATCTAACTAGAAAAGCTCCTCAAGATCTTCAGCACTGTTCGAGATGCTAGATTGAGCTGTTTGAGAGAAGAATTGGGGAATAAAAGTCAAGTCTTTTGGAACAGGAGACGAAGCTTTTAAGAGAGAATGGCTGCATAGCCTGGCCATGCTTTTATTCAATTGGGGCTTAGTGGAGCCAACAGGGCCTCGCTGTCTCCGACACTTAATTACAACCCCAAGACCGTTTGCTTTGCATTCTGGGCCAGCGGCGTCAGCGGCAGCCGAGCGTTGCAGCCTCTACTCACTTCCTCCTCGATCTCTGCCAGGGATTTGATCGTAATGCCCATTAAATTGACTTGCTGCATCTGAAATCAAAAGCAGGGAGAGGAGGGGGGAGAAGAGGAAGAAGAAGAAAAAAAACACACAAGAAACATGGCGGTTAGGCTCATGGCTAAGTAAGCATGCTTAAAATCTTTAATCCTCTCCCTCTTGGTGTCAATAGAAACGGGGCTATAGTGACAACCGCCGCCAGCCAGCCAAATGGACTGCATTGAGCCAGCTCTGCCTGACTGCACGCATTCATCACTCAGTCTGGAGGAAAGCAAAGAAAAGGAAAGGAAATGAGAGGAAACAAAAAAAAGAACAGGAAAGGAAAGAAAGGCAGAAAGAAAGAACGAACTTTCTAATGGCTGCATACTGAGAAAAAGGATCAAATATCGTGACCACCATATGGCCCATACTACACACCAGGGTGCAGGGCAAGGAACCATCATGACCCCTCTCATTATTTGTAATAAAGCAATCATTTTGCATTGCACCGCTAGTTCCTCAAAGAATGTTTACCTCTTTGGGGTTTTCGAAAAACTTCTCAGAGATCACAAAGGGCACATCATCCAGAGCTGCAAAGAAGTAAGAAAAAACAAAGGTTGACTTTCATAGAAAAAATAAAGAAATTGTACACTCTATTCTTGATCCTGAGTATTTCCACAAGACTAAACGTGGGTTTATAAAACAGCAGAGCTATCAACATCCCGACACCTCCCCTCCTTCCGTCTATGGAGAGAAGATGAAAGGCTTTCTTATTATCCGCTGTATTTGAGCACCTCCACACTCTCCTCCAACCCAGCCCTTTCCCAACCCTCTTCCACTTTAATTACTCTTGATTATTCCCGATTCCGTCTTGTCTGAGAGATGTTCACCTCCGAAACAAAGACGCACTCACACTAGGCACAGAAAAGCGGAAAGAAGAGAGACAAAACATTCACCAGATATCAAATTTGCATGAAAATAAGCCACACTGTTCAGCCGGCAAAAAGTGGATTGAAATGAGGACTTGCCAAGAGCGTGGTGGTATAATTAGCATTTGACCAAACAAACGAGCTTCAACAGAGCTATAATTAAGCAGGCCTGTAATTAAGTGTATGCCCTTTATCATAATGATCGTGGTTAAAATGGTGTGATGGCTGCCAGTTGATTATTAATGGTGTAACCCTGTACTGCATGCATCCTGCACTGGAATCAAGGTGTCACGACTGTCAGGCTAGAGAGCAGCCCTTTGTTTATAAAATACATTAGGGCCCAAATTAACACAGGGTGACAAGGGACACAAAGCCTCTCGTTTCCAGACTGAAGGGAAAACTGCAGCTGCTCGGCTTCATTATAAAACTCCCAAATCTGGAGGCACAAAACTTGCTGCCGTTGGCTTCAACAGGAGCCCCAAATATCAAGAGGCCAAGCTTCCAACTGGTGTTCTTTTACCCACAGTCCATCAGGCAGCTGGCACAGGAAAGGGAACTCATAAATGTAAGCCGAAGCTGTTCATGAGTCATCGTTTTGGAGCTGAAACTCCTTTTGGTCTTTCCTGTTCACAGCAATATTTAAGTATGAAATTCTAAAATATACCTCACTTTGACACTTATGTGACTTGCTTTCCTTTCTTGGTTATTACACAGATCCTCAGTTTGGCACTTTCCACACAACTGTACAATGTGATCTTTGTAATCAAAGCATGACCCTCACCCTCATGACCACAGGAAAGCTTATTTAGTTTCTTGCCCTCCTGTCATATCCCACAGCAAAAATGTAAGCTGTAACAAGAGTCTACAGCCATGCCAGTATTTCTGCACTTTGAAGTAAATGCTAATGTCAGCATGCTAACATGCCCACAATAACAATGCTAACAGGCTGATGTTACGCAGGTTAAATGTTTACCATGTTCAACATGTTAGATTAGTGGGTTAGCATTTGCTAGCACTAAAAGAATTACAGCTATGGCTGATAATTAGTCATAAACCAAAGTACTGAGCAAATACTACAATGGGATTCAATATTTTCTGCCATCAGAATCCAGAGGTCAAGTTTGTTTAATACTGACACGATAGCTGATTCAAAAACATTCCACATCAGCGTCAGTCTTCTTAGTTGTTTACAAAAATGCCACAACAGCACTCCTCTGTACAGGCAAACCCGACCCATTTAAGATAATAGGTTATGACTGGCCCAACCTGGGCCAGGTCAGCTGGAAATCTGTCTGAATGGGAGGGGGGCCAGATGTATCCACCAGAGTAAATGAAACATGAGCTCACAGATTCGTCTGGTTCCCAGGCTGCGGATTAAATTTTGGGCACCACGGATGTCTATATTAAATTGTATTTCAATCCATCCAATATCTACTAAGATATATCAGCCTGGGTCAAAGTGGTGGACCAACCAACTGACTGACTGACACTGCATAGAGCCATGCTGCTAGCATGGCTAAAAAAGTTCAAGAAATGAAAGGCTCATCACCACCTCCTTTTCCACTCACGCAAGGGCTGTTCAATGCCCCAGCCTCGACACCCACCTCCCTGTAGCACCTTTGGATGAGTGGCTATCTGGAGCAGCAAGAGCAAACCACGACGATTGGATAGGTACGATGACTTGTTTAAGCTCATAAAAACAAGTGAATAAACATGCACTTCTGTGTCGCTGCGAGCATCATCACCAGGCAGAGATAGGCAGGGAGAATACATTTGAATCAATAGCCAGCAAAGGGAAGCCGAGATTGTAGTTGCTGATGGATCTACGTGGCACGGACAGATGAATGCACAGAGCTGAAGGCCAGAGAGTTTCTTTATTGCTCACAGATTACATTTAAAACCAGATCTCGCTTTGTATTCCTCCACCATCTATACTAGAGAGGCTATCTTACATCCAGACAAATGGAGAGGCACAGGAGATGACTTGGTGGTAAGAAATGGATACCAGAAACCCGAAGGTGCAAAGGGTAAAAATAATGTAAATCCAATCTTCTGACCAGGAATCCAACTATGAAGCATGTTCTAGCCACTCAAATGGTCAGGCTACAGTCCATTAACTCACGAGTGTATTGCTGTGTAGAGAATTGGGTAGTCATTTGGCATTTGGAGAATGTGAGTACAGTCGATATGAAAACATCTGGCAGGAATTTTGGTACAATGACTTTGATGATGATGATGATGATGATGATGGCGGTGGGCTCAGAGGTGGCGTTAAGTAAGGAGGACCCTGTGGCTTGAGTGATTGTAGTGTAAAGAACGGAGTCAGCACAGGGCCCGTGTGGATCATTGCCTTATTAATGGCTCCGTCAGGTGCGATGAGCAATGGCTGCATTGTCATCTCCAGCCCCTGGGCACAGATGAATGGCTGTTTCAGGGCGGGAAGGGCTCCCTCGTACGCTGGGCTGAGCACTAATCCCTCACTCTTCCATTGTTGGATGCACTGTCACCCAGGACTTCAGCAGCGCCATACATTGCATTTCCAGGGTTCTAACAGACACGGCCATACACAGGCATATACACACACACATACACACACACACACACGCATGCACGCATATACCACACTGAGTTTTGCTCCGACACTGACTGATGGAAAAATATGCGTGGGTGATCGAGCATACCCCATATTACCTGAACCACAACTCAAGAATAACACTTTGGGAATGTTGATGAACTTTTATTTTACACTTCACTAATTCAGCAGAATTGCATTGATCTCTGTCTAGTATGATTACTTGGGTGAATCTGTCTTGCACCTGAATTAAGTGAGGAAGTCACAGTCAGGGCAATAATCTGCAAGCACGAATGAGAATCTCTTATGATTTTTTCCCCATGATTGAGCTGATTTCTATTGTTTAATACCATAAAATAATAAGAAATAATAAGTAAAGCTGCTCAAAATGAGGTTAGGGCTTTATCTGGAACCTGCTGTACTTCATATTCCAAACAATTGGATGTTGCCTCTCCTCTTTGTGTAGCCAGGCTAGACATTGCAATACCTTTCCTGTCGGTGTGACTCTCAATTTGAGGCGGATTCTTTATGCAGACCATGGAAATGCTATTCTAGTTGCAGACCCCGCGCTCTGTCACCTCTGCAGATAATGGTGAGTCGATGAACAGAGAGCTGGAGGAGGACCCCCTCTGCCCACTCACAGCCCTTAGCCCCACTCTGACATGAGAAATAGTGCCCAGGCCTGACAGCATCTCGGAGACATATTGTAGTTTATTTTGTCGCCCGGGCATGCCATCTGTGCCATTCCAATAGAGGGTGTGTGTTCAGGCTGCTGCAAGAGAGAGGGCGCGAGGCTTCGGGTCCCTCAGTAGCGCTGCAGCCACGGCAGGTCATTAGTCAAATTGCCTAATGAGAGAGAATACAAATGGCCCCCTACCCTGACAGGAGGAATTTTGGAGGTGTCAGAGCTCCTGACCCGTGCTATGAGAACAGATGATAGCGAGTTGCTATTTTCAGATTCTTTTAATGACTATGGCTCTATGAAACCCATTCTTTTTCTTTTATCTTTTTACCGCTTTTTCAAACCCTCTAGACAGACGAGTGAAAAAAAAAACTTTTCAATGTATTAAAAATCTCACTTGCAAGAGTGGAAGTGTAACTTTTGAATTATTTAAATGTTTACTGGGGAGTCAATTAACATTCTAAATAGCACATAACATTGATACTAAAATAGATCACGCCCTGAAATGATGTTGAGCGTTTCTGATAATCTATTTTTATTTATTTCTGCCGCCTGTGTACAGCTTCCTTCCCCAATCTCGCTGTAGTGTGTGCAAGCGTCTGTTGCAATTCTCCTGACAGCAACAGTTAGTTTATGCTAAAATATTAATTTCATCTCATTCAAATGTTGAAAAATGTAAACAAATTTAAATGTTTCATAATGTTAAGAGTGGTGTGCAAAACATCCAGTGGATGAATGCTTCTATAGTTGGATACTTCAGGCTGGGGCTGCCAAACACTCAGGTTTGTGGTGAAAAACTGTGGACGGAAAACAGAAAAGAAGCAGAAAGGGAGTGGAGAGAAGCTGAATCATTTTACACAAGCTTGCCGTTTGTCCACTTTGGTGAACATTTTTTAAATACATTTTTATTATTTTGGCTAGTAAAGGTATATTATCTTACAGAATACCATATATTAACTTGATAAGACATTTTATAAATACACATGAAAACATATAGCTTTAACTATAGTTGATCATTGAAGTTTTATAATACAAATACAAAAGTGAAAAAGAGAACATACTCTCTAAAACTAACAATAGACTTGAGTTTGTTGCCCAACATTAAAATTCAACTTTTTTTTATTTATTTATTTATTTTTAACCAGAGGGATGCAAAATGGCAAGCTTATGTAGAATGACCCACTTACTTTTCCATCTGTGACAAGCAGTCCTTGAAATCTGGTTGTGGGTAGGGAGCCAGGAGGCAGTCCCAGTCGGGCGCTGGTCCATCAGTCTTCCAGAAAGTGGGCAGAGCCAGAAACACCTACAGTGAGTTGGCTACAAACACCGCTGCATCACACCGAGCGCTCAGAGGAGGTGTGTATATGTGCGGTAATTTCTCCAACACTTCTGCCGACACTGTATATGTTACGCATATATGCAAGAACTATTTAAAGTAAAGTAAGTACCAAAATTCTTCAGTGATTTGATAAATTTACAAAACCTGCATTAACTGCATTAAAATCAGTCAGTACTGGAGAATTACTGGGAAAGCCCTTTCTGCTGGCTATTGAGAGCTCTCATGAAATTAAATGGACAATCAGACTTTAATCAGCAGCACAGTGTCTTTTAAGACACTGCCATGGCACTGGCATTGATCCCCAGCTGTGGCTGCTGGTAAATGTGCAGCAGAATGTGTATAAATGGGGTACGCCTCTCTGGACAAGTGTAAAAGCTGGCAGAGGGCTGACAGTAAATTGCATGTGCCGGATGGGACACAGCAGAAGGCACAATTACACAAATCCCCTCTTAATTAGCGGTTCTGTGGGCAAACTAACCCGTAATGATGCAAGGGATGTGGCGAGCCCTAGAAATCCTAACAAGAAACACTCACCAGCACTAGAGACTGGGTCATATGGCCCCGGATCCCCTCAAGTAGTGACTGACGCATGATCTGTTTTGATCAGTGCAGCTGCAGGAGAAGACTCCCCAGTCGCCCTGCTCCCCACAACCCCTAGCCCTCGCAGAGTTACTTGCCCTCTGGACTGTGGGTAAAGCAGCAGGCCCTGTGTGGTTATGGGTGGCATTATTAAGTTCTCCATGCTCACAGTACCAGGCAATGTAAAGTGGCATCTCACACGGTGAGTAATGAACTGTGCCAGAGTGGAAGCAGGAGGGATGACAGCCAAAGAGGCCTCCTTGGCAGCCACTAACCTGGGCATCCACCAATTTATCATCCCCTAGAACCAATCCACCAATGCTGCGCTGCCATTTGTCATTAATTATGCTAATAAGGACACCATTACTCTCCTGATGAAATAGCCGACTGTTATTAGTATAATGCGTTTACAGTTTGATACATATGCATTTGCTTATTAGTTTTACTGTGTGTGGATTAGCGGACTTTAAAGAGATATTTTCCATTACTTAAATAAAACTGTAACACTATACACTTTGAAAATACTGCTACAGAGGAGCCCAGGACTTTTCTGTACACACTAATTGACTATTATGAAATGACAAACCAACTGTTTCATAATCAGCCACCCTATATATAAATAAAATAAAAATGGCCTCATCTATGTAAAGAGGCTGATGTGTTTGAACTTTTTCACAGCAGACTTCATGGCTCTAAGCAAACCAGTCTGAGCAGAACTATTTAATATAGCTTCTGGGAGCCCCAGATGCCCTTTTCCAAAACGACTTCATTCCCAGAATCTCATTGTGCTTTCTAAATCACACCACAGTATGTATTAGAAGATCATTAATTACAAACTTAACAAGTCAGCAGAGCCATTAAAAGATCTTTAAGGCATATTTGACCATAAATCTCCTTAAACTATATTTAATGACTGGATTTTTGTGAAATATTTTTTATCAAGTTCTAATTAGATGTGTGATAACAAACCCTGCTGTACATGGGGCAAATGAGGGAGCCGTGACAGGCCCATCCATTGAGGCTGTCCACGTCTGGACACTGAAACTAATGGAGCACTGCTTCTATCTCAGGGATGGATAGAAAGCAATGAGGGATGAGACTCCAGAGTCCAGTCTGGCCTGCAAATGCAAAGCCATTTGAAGTCTCTTATTTGACTGTAATAAAGGTCCAAAAATGCCTGAGGGCCTCCAGTCAGAAGTTCCATTACGATTCATTCAGGATTGATCCCCCAAATACTTAATGGCACCATCACGTTGGGATCGATCATGTTTTGAAAATAACCTTGATAGTCCAATTGGTTTTTTGTCATGTAAGTGGGATATACACCAACAGGATTTCATTTAGAAGGTATTTTACCTGTTAATATCCAACAGTGTATTTTGACCGAGGAGATGTACAAATTAGGCTGCAGTGTTGTTTTTTTTAATATTTGACTTTAAATGTAGTTTTCTGAACAAAAACAACAACACACAAATCCAGAATCACAAAAAACTATTTGTCTGAACAAATGTGATCAAATTAACATATTCCAAGATAAAGATAAAATACTGTCCAAACTATTTTCTCGACAAAGAAATGAAGCTTGTGTTGAAGTTAGAAAACGATTATGAGTCATATTTCTTGCAGATCCAGGGAAAAAAATTAAACAATAGGGAGAATTACATCCATGTCCCATCCAGACCTCTGCACAGCAACAATATGTGACTGGATGTCACTCCATTCTGGATAACTCTCCTAACATCTCTCTTACCTTCTTGTTTTTGTCTTTTCTGCATAGATTTTTGTTCATAGCATGCTAGAGTGTATTTTGGCCAGTTGTTTAATTCACTTCTGCAGTATTCACCTGAAAACATTGAAACTATGCTGCTATTTCTATCTGGAAAATACAGAAAGCGCTAAAACTTAAATCTGAATTAAAAATTTTAAAAATTATTAAGGGGAAATTCAACACTCCTTTATATCATTAACTGCTGGGAGTAGTAAACAATTTGAAGATGTGTGTGTGTGTGAGTGTGTGAGTGTGTGAGTGTGTGAGTGTACATTACGTGTAAACAGTATTTTCACATTGAACCCCCTGCTCTCCCTATTTCGCCTTTTGCTGACCAAGGGAATTAAGAAGCAAAACGTGGGTTTTAAGAGCGTTCCTTTCATGTCTTGATGTAAGCTTTGGCATTACTTCAGACATCAAGATCGGTTTCATAGAAATCCCATTCCATCTAAAGTAAAAGCTCGGCAGTAAATCTGCCCTATACTCCCCCATAACACTTCTATAAATGATTCATTCAGCTCAGTTTAGCTGATGCAAAACAGAATGTTAGTGAGTTGTGGATGGAGCATGAGCTGCAAGTGGAGGACCAACCCCGTTGCTTAGTAATTTCATCAATCTCTGGGAGAAAAAGAGAGGAGAAAAGAGAAAGAAAAGAACAGCGTACACTAATAATAACTTTTGTGTCACTATCCAGAGGTCATGTTTTTTAATCCCTCAGCCTAAAGAATTGTGTTATTTTAAAATATAACCCCAGCGGTGCCGAAGCAGTTGAGATCCATCACAGTTTGAGATAAGAGCCGGATGATCTCCTCCTTCTGCACAGCCTCGCCCAGAACCACACAGGGAGATAAGATGGAACTTTTGTTTGAAACCTGATGAGAACCCTCTTAATGAAAGTGCTGCGCCAAAAATAATCTTTTTTCTCCATGTTAGTCAATCAAGAAATGGTGTAGTTGGGGGAAAAAAGAGGAGAAAGAAAGTAATTTTGCATAATCAGTGAGCACCATCTGGAACAATTAACCAAATTCCACAGAACTCAGAGGATCAGTCATATTGGCTTATTAAAGATCCAGAATTATACAAGTAATAAATCCTTGGAAAAACGAAGCGTACCCCTGCCTGTCACGACTATTTTAACTTCAAATACAGTGGAATACTTGATAAGGCTGAAAAGAGGAGATTAATATATGCAAATTATGTCGAGCATTTAAAAGCCCCCCAACAACTGTCTCGGTTTTTTTTCTGTCTCTTATTACAGGGCTTTATGTTTTATTCATACACCAACTCACCTGTCATTTCATAAGCTATAATATTATGAGGGTATTATTAAACAGCATAAAGTGGAGCTTTAATTGGAAAGCTCCATTGCATTTTCCAATTATTTGCAGCAAATTAAAAGCAGATGCACATAGTTTAATAAGAATTCTAATATTGTTTCCTGAAAATCAAAAATCAATGTCATCCTGCCAAGATATTTTGCAAACCCAAGTTAATTTTGAGTCTCCTATTTTTTTCCTCCTCCTCTGAAGGATGAACTGTCTCGTGTCTGTTAATTGAAGTTCTTCTAATGGATAGGGAAATAATTGCTCTCCATATTACGTTAGATCAGGGCCAATGTCAGGATTTATTTTTGATTAATGCAGTAGATATGTAAATGTATTACTTTTTATTACGTTTACCTTTTTTATCAGGTGGATGTCTGCTGAATACTATATGTTGTTTTGTAGGTAATGAAGAGGGACTGCAATGCAACAGACTCAGTGTCACGTCACGTCACACAGTTTTAGACTTTTTTCAACACATTTACATTTATTTTCTCTCAAACATATACCTTTTAGCCACATTTCATGAGAGCAAGTTTAATTACCTTTAAAATATCCTGCTTTTCTGTCAATGTATGAATAGCAGACCTAATTGGCAAAGGGACTTGGCATGGATCAAAGCAACGTGGTGAAGAAAAGCAAAGGTTGGGGCTGCGATGAAAACTTGATAACTTTTCAAATGAGCTTGAACTGTCAAGTGAAAAAGGGCTGCAAAATAAATGTGAATTAGTTTTTAATATTCTGGTAATAAACGTCAAAGCGCCTGCACATCACATCTGTACATGATGTGACTGCAGATGACAGATTTCCCAGACATGTTACCTCTCCTCCCCTCAACTCGGTCTTTTTTTTTGTGGGGTTTTTGTTTTGTTGGGAAGTGACGGAGGGTTTAATCAAGAAAGCAGGCAATTCATCAATCCTAAAGAAGGCGCCTGTACAACCCTGACAGAGCGCACATGGTTTTAGACCAACTCGAACCTGGCCAGCTGTCAGCCCACACACACACACGCGTACACACGCAAGCACCCATGCACCCACACACACACACACACACACACACACACACATACACACCAGAGCTACCACCGCTAACAATTAACACAAATAGGCTGTCGGCTACGACCTCACACTTGGTCTGCAGGCTATCACATTGTTAATGAAGGGAAAGTTGCGTTCTCTCACATTCACAGTGTGATGCTGAAAGGCTGACGAGTACACAGTCTCTAGCAATAAAGCCAAGAACCATCTCAGGCTAACTCCATTATCCTCTTTTCTTTAAAATCTCACCAGCTCAGGAAGGGACACATAAAGGTAGAAGAAAGAGGGAGTCTGTACAGCTGTGAAGGACAGTTTTCTGGAGATAAATGATGACTGCTGGCAGCCTACTGTACAGTATGTGCATGTTCTTCACTGTCACTCAAACCCTGTCCCAGTGGAGGAATCCCACACCCAGTGTCACAAACCACTCAGCTGTGTGTTAATGTCTACTCCTTCAGGGCCACATTTTGCACAGTTGTCTTGACTAACTTATAATACGACTGTCATACCAACACAATGATGTATTAATCATTTTTTTTTGTCAATTATTCTGCTTTGCTTTTTTGGGGGGGCATACAGAAAAAGAAAAAAGTGACGTTAAAATTCAAATTGATTGTTTCTGTATGCAGTTCTATCATGTGCACTTCGGCAATTGTTTAATAGGCAGGTTCATATTAAATAAGGAAGGGTGTAACATGGCCATAGCCTGGGTGTGCCTCTGTTGAGCAGCAGGAGGAATCCTCACCACATGGTGTCTCTCTCCAGCTGGATAAAAACCCGCCTGCCTCATTCGCCTCGTGTGGATCACATGCTCTTTAAGGCTAGAGCGTCTCAGCCGGCTCTGACTCTGTGGCTCTGAGGCTGTCATAGCTAAGCTCTGCTTCCTAACGAATTAGCCTTTCTTCTGTTTTAGTCCCGGAGCATTGTACTATAGTTGAGTTTCTCCCTGAGAAAGAGAAGGGAATTCGTCCAGTGCATGCACGGTACATATGTAAGTATGGCATGTGATGGATCATCTTTGACAGCTGTTAAATGTTCTCTTGAGTGTAATGCGCAGCTCCTCTGGGAAGTCACGTTCACTCAGATAAGCAAAGCTCTGTACAGTATACATCAGTGAGGAGATCTAGACACAGAATGTTAATAGATCAAGTACCAGAGGAGCTGCATTTAAGTACAGGTGGAGACGAAGCAAGACATTCAGTGTACATAGAAAGCACAAGTACAAGTATTGAACCTTTAGTAGTGAGTGGGCTAAAAGTAAGGGATCTGCAGATTTAATGTATCTTAGGCAAACTATTAAATTCCTCTAACTGTCTAAAGTGACTGTCATAAATGGTACTGACTAAAGAGTGAGACTGTATACCTGTCATGGTGTAGTTCCCACTGCTCTGGTGCTCATAATCCGGCCTGCTCGTGGTCTTCCTGCTGGCAGAAAGAAAGCAGCAATGTTCTCTCAACTGGTCAGTACTGTTTTATCGACCATCATGTTAAAAACATACAAAATGCACATACACTTTGTATTGAACAATGACAATTATGTTCTAAGGCACATTGCTCGGACATTAAAATACAATGCAGGAGAATATATTTAGCATGGAAGCTCCCTCCTTATAAAAAAGCTTTTTTATCTGTCTTAAGGCAAAACAGAACACTGAAATAACAGGATGAATCTGAAGAGGAGAAATATGGTAAAAGTTAAACCATGCCTCAGCTGCCCAGGGGCTTGAACAGACCTTTAACGGGGGTTTGAAGCAGGATCTTGTTAATTCTGGAGGTACTGAGAGATTCCATTATTCAAGGGAAGTCTGTTTTTTTTCTCCTTTTTTTTCCTCTGTTTCATGGCCTTGTATTACAGAAAACAGCACAGAATGCACTTTGTGGGCAGTTGAAGTTAACAAACCATATAAGATTGAAATCCTCATCAATCAAGCTATCATGAATCACACCCTGTGACTCACCCCTACGGATCGATAAATCCACAGCAAGCAGGGGGGAAAAAAATCACCGCTTCAAGAGAACTGCATAACATGACATGCTCTGAAGGTAAAATGAGCTCCAGGATGGAATTATAAAACAAATGATCTTATAATGATAATGCAAAGTAGTTGGCAATATCATTAAATAGGGAATTGCTTTGATTAGAGGACACACTGGCATAACAGCTTGTTGGTAAAGAACAAGGAAGATAAGAAGAATAAGACAGTGTTGAATTATAAAAAGACAAGACAGATTTTGGGGGTGAGCAGGTGTGAAGTTGCAAATAATAAAGTATTATTTTGTGTATCATGTTCTGTATTTGATCTGTTTATGGATAACATAATAATTCGTCCCTTGCAGAGGATATAAAATCTAAATTCTTAAAATTTAAGACTAAAGGCAGATCTGCATATTCCAAGGGTGCTGTGCATGAGTTGTGGCTTTCAAAGCCTTATCTCTTCGGATGAGATAAATAAATGCAATAATTTCCATCAAGAGCAATAAAACAAGACTTCTGACAGGCTGTGGTATTTATGAGCTGAAGCCTGCAACTCAGATTTATTTGCAATGAAAGGGTCGACTTTTCTCCTCCTCATTTACATCAGCATTTGGCCATGTTAAATCCAGGCCAATGGTGAATTTTTAAAAGGTTGGCATCAATCTTATGGGAACAATTGCCATATTCGAGGCAGACTTCTTTTACCTCTCAAAGGTTGATTCCACTGCTGAGGAAGAAAGGTACACATCTTTCAAAGCACAGAGACATACCATGGACTGATAAAGTGGTGGTGGTGGTGGTGGTGGTGGCGGGGGGGGGTTGAATGTTTTTGTAGGTTGTCTGCATTTGCATTGTTAAATTAGTACTGAGAAGAAACAACACATAAAGTATGAAGACTGGCTATTTATCTATGTATCTGAAAAAGTGAAAGCAGTACTTAAAATCCCAAAGACTGTGTGAAACCAGGGAAATGTGCTCATGAAATGTTTTTCTTCAGGCAACCTCCAGGGTTGCTTTTTCCATCTGTTTGAAACACAAAATTGTCTCAATCCAAATTGGTGATTTCTAAATACAATTTTAGGTGCATTGGAGAGAGTAACATATGGCAAATCAATTAGACAACTAATTCTTAAAACAAAAACATGGCAAGTGCATTTGCTAATCAACAGCAGCGTTGGGGCTCATATTATGTCGGCCACTGGAGTTTTGACAACAATTAATCCTCATTTCAGGCAAGGAGAGCCATATTGACACATAATCCTAATTTGAATATTCAATTATAGTGTAGTTCCTCATCAAATTAGAGTAAAACTGGGAACACGGCCTGAAAGATTTACACAATTACAACTCAGATCAAGAGTCTTATGTTCCCATGAAATCTGCCAGAGTTAAAATCATATTAGTGTGGCAAAGCAAACCACGACACTGAGGATTACTTGACAATATGAATTACACATTTTTTGTATGGTGTTCTTTAAGTTGTTCCACATGGAATAAGGAAAAGAGTTGTCTGTGTTAGAAGAAAAGAGAAAGTGGGTGAGACAGTGGGGACAGGCAAGCAGTAGTCAGTGGAGAGGTAAGATGAGGATGAGAGTAATATCACTGAAGAGCCAGAGCTGCGATACAGAGAGCTGGAAGCTCTTGTTTTGACACACATCCAGCCTTTCCCGTGACAACATCTCCACACCTTCCTCTACGTGCCGACAGTGCTGCTTTGTGGGAGCTGCTTTCTCACCCATCATTATCCTCCTTTAAGCTCAGTGTCAGGTATTGAAAAGAGGATCTCTCTGAATATGGCGGCAAAAATCACTGAACAGTCTGAGCCCATCAGATCTTAGCCGATCATTCGATCATTCCTGGCACCTCTCTGCATTCCTTCACTTGATCTCCGCTACTTTTTGCAACTTTTCTGAACACAACAAAGTAATGAGTAAGATTGAGCGGAGAGTGATTGTTCTTCAGCACTTCAGATGGAAGATCTGTCAGGCGACACACTGACAGTCACGGTGTCTCTTTCCCTCAAGAGTCGTGTGCAGTGGGAAGTCTTGGTTAACCAGCGAGCAATGAAAGCTGATACAATACTCCCGCAGAGCTGCAGCAATGTGTGGCGTGTCACAGGTAGAAGACAGTGTAATCCCAAAAGTTATTGATATGCATGCCAATTCTGACACTGATAACTCTCTAGGCTTCACGTTTTAAAGAAAAAGACAAAAAAAAAAGGAACTACAGTATGCTATGAAAAAAAAGATACTTGGCCTTGACATTTTTATCGCTGTACAGTTTGATTTAAAAAGTGTCTGTGTGTACAATAGCCTATTATTCTAAGAGAAATGTCAAAAACCTTGATTCTGAGTGAAGCAAAAGAAATTGCAATATTAGGACAAGGCTAATTTATGCTAGCAGTCACTGTAGAGGTCAGATTTCAGCCTCAGCAATGACAGTTTTATCAGGAGAACAAATGGCAGCGTTGTCCAGAAGAAGGAAAGAGGGAGATACTTTACTGGACACATTAAAAGGCTGACCGGATGGTGCAGGTTTTTCACATTATAAAGTCAGGGAGTGGCTGATATGGTTTTTCTTGACAGAGAACAAGCCAAAGTGGTTGACTTCAAGCTGCAGCTATGAATCAAAACAGAATCTGACGCTCGTTGAAACGCTTTAGACAAACTTGATAAAAGAGACATTCATCACACAAGGTTCAAATGCGTTTGCACAGCAGACAGGCCTATACATGAACAGTTTTAGTGGCACGAATAAAAAAAATATTCTAGGTTTCGTGTTTGTCCTTCATCCTTCTTCAATTTATGAAACTTAGTCGAACTAACAAAATAATTATTCCTTTACTAATTCCTAAGATTTATTTTTACGGGGTTTCTGAAGGATTCACCAAATCCAAAATGTTTTTAATACCACACAGAACTTTATTTAATACCTGTTTCACAATTATACCGGCCAAACCAGCAGGACGATATAGCCTTTAATTCTTTATTATCACCTCACTTTTATTCCAGTATTTCTCAGCAGTAAATCATTCCTTCATGATAAAATTAATGCAACCTTGACTTGAATAAGTGACAGAAAATGGATGATCTCCATTTCCACCAATCAAACTTTATTCTGCTAATCAATTGGTCGATTGAAAGAAAATTAATTGTCAGCTATTTGGATCTTCAATTAATCACTTCTCAAACAAAAATACCAAACATGTGCTGGTTTTAGCTTCTTAGATGTAAGGATTTTCTGTTTTTCTTTGTCATATATGATAATCAGATATCTTTGGCGTTTCAACATTTGCCCATTATGAGACAATGGGCTTCCTTTGCTATAGGTCTGATGGTGATGACCAGGACTCTAACTCACAAAAAAGGATTGAACAGCCTCCAATGTGTACAATTCACTGTTGCAACAATCACATTTTTAGTTTCTAAGTGTGTAACGTGTCCCGACAGCCTGCAATCGGATACAAAAACATTTCATAACTAACGTGACTGCCTATAGCAGGCAAGAGAGGAGGAAACTGAATTCAAAACTTTTCAAGACCCGCAGATACCCTGTTTGTAGTGACAACACAATACAAAAACAATTCAAATGCAACACCTAAGCCTTGATGCAATCACTGTGTGCATCCCATAATGATGCAACACCCTGCAGTTACTCTGTACTGCAGCCCTGTGCCGCTGAAAAAAAACCTGATTTGCGGTTTACGTTTGTACACAACTCTAACAAGCTCTCGCTGCCTGAGGCAACTTAACATTTGAGAGGGATCACTGCAGCTTTCAAAATTATAAGGGTCATTAAAAATTTACACATTATTGACTGTATTTAAAACATCTTTTCCACTGACTGTAAAGAGCACTTAAATTTAAGAGGTGCTATTCTCCAAAGGCCATAAAGTTGTTATAGATAGCCCAAAGGAGGCATGGAGGAGAAAATTTGCTCTTGCTGAATATGTGAATAAAGTATAGTGGGGTGCTACTACACTGACAGTTACACTGTAGTACTGTACTTACCTAAGCAATCAGTGAGTTTTGAAGAGCTGTTTATAAATCACTGTCAAACTATCTAATCTGTGACTTTAAAGAAACTACAGACATATTTATAGTTCTACATATGGTTGTCTGAAGTGCATGTAACTACACAGAGAGGATGCCAGATAAATAGTCAAAGAACTGCTGCTGTCTAAATTTCCCGTAGTGCCGTCCTTATGTGTCAGCGCATTATGGATGGAAATACTCTCAAAAGAAGACTCTCTGACTGTGGAATGAATTTTAATGTTAATACAAAAACAGCAGCCTGTGATCTCAGCAGGCATCAGGAGGGGGTGTGAGTCGCTTCGAGGTGCAATTTATTCCAACCTCTGAGCCTCACCAACTTGAAAGTGGGCTTCAAAAGAACGGAGGATTACCGGTAAGAGCTGCAAAGGCGTACACACGGGCCTGAGCCCTCACAATCACTTCAACACATCAAAGATTATTGACCATCGACTTCCAAAATATGGGCAATTCGCAAAACTCTACCCAGTTTGAACTTGGGTTCTGAATTCACGGCTGCCCATTTTATTGTTCTCAGCCCACTGAGTGGCCATGTGAACAGAAGCTCTGTTTTGAATGCGCCTGCTGGCATCCACCGCTCTGGCCTGTTGTGGCTTTTAAGTGGCTTTTACTCAGCCCAGCACAGGATGGCAAAGTATAGCACTTCAAGCTGGCAAACCCATAAGTGCCCCGTGCCAAGCTTCCCTCTCCACAGCAACGCCACACTAAAGGAGTCTCAATTGTTTATTTACAATTTGCTGTGGAAATCCCCAGTTCTTCATTGGGATAAATAATTGAGCTGTTTGATCTGGACACAGTACAAAGGTTTGCTCCATTCACTCTGAGGCCTGAGGTGGAGGAAGCCTGAGCAGCATGAGCAGAGGAGGGGACACGCACACTCCAGCATGGCGGAGATCTTGGAGCTCTCCTCCCTTCCTCTGCAGCTGTCGCTCGCTCTCCGGGCTACATCTCCTCCTCTTTGTCTGCACAGTACAACACTCCTGTCACCGCAGTCAGACGAGCGACCTGCCTCTGCCTCCTGGGACACACCACAAATAGCAGGAGTTTAGCCCTCATTGAACTCATGTTCTTGTTCAGGGGATCCTGTCTAGTTAGCCTGTCTCTCCGGTTCACCCTCGCTACCTCGTTGTCCAGCCACAACCTTTACAGCAGATTGCCCAGGAGTGATCAATTGCTTGTGTCTTCATTGTCGTACATATGGTACAGAAGCATAACAACAGCTCAAGAGTACACTGGGAGTGAAATAAAAAAAGAAAGCATGAGGAAAGTTAAACTTTGAGAGGCACTGCAGAACAGTGTAGTATGGTGTTACCTTGCTGTGTTGGGTGGTGCGTCACTGCAAGCTGTACTGGACATTTCCTGGGACGACTGGTGCTGAGAAACATCACCCTTTCGATACCATATTCCCATATTATTTATCTCACTGTGAAAGAAAGAAGAAGAGACATACAGAGTGTTTAAATAGCTAGGTCAGTAATTATTCATGCAAATTAGAAAGTGGTATATGTTTTAAAAAAAAACTAAAAACTAAAAGAAGTATGGTGATTGATAGAAGATTATAAGATATTTATTTCCACTACCAAATAGCTCACCCTACACAGGTGTAGTTAACAAGATGGTACTTGGACTTCGCAATGATCTGGATGTCATATACAGCCGTCACAGCAGCCGCACGAGGGCTCATTTTCACACAGAGCCTCCTCTTCCTCATGGCAGTTTCCTCTGATGAGTCAGGTACACATGAGCGTGTCAGACAGGAGTTGTTGGTTGTGTATCTGATTCTGTCATCTTTGAGTTTCCGGCTAAAAAAAAAAAAGCTATAGACATTTTGAACCTCTAGGAGAAATATATATATATATTCACAAATTCCACTTATACTTGGCTATTTAGTCATTACCAGTCTCAGAATAAGAGATGAGCTAATATCAGTTTCTGGATGACTTGCTGTGCTCAAAGGGAAATGACTGGCCAGCGGAAATCCACAAAATCCACATGTGTTATTATCATTTTTATCATTTTAGTAGGTAAAATGACAGAATCAAGTGAATCCTCCATCAGCTTTAGTGCACAACAGGGATTTAAACTGGATATTCTAGATAGAAACTCATACATAATGTCACATGTATACATTAAACATGGATTCACATAAAGTAATAAAACATTAAATTACACCATAGCCAAACAAAACATAATCTCTTTTCTTCATTCTGGCAAAAAACAGCATTGCCATGCTTTCTTATATTGCATCTGTGCCTCGCTCATTTATTTCCCCTGCAACACTAGAAAGTGCAGTGTAAATGTAATGATAATAAAAATAATAAACAAGCTGTCCTCACTACCCACACCAAAATATTATTACATTTCCAAGGCATGGATAGCAAGGGGGAAATACATAGCACTCAAAAAGCACTAAAGCATTGGGGAATGCATTTCATTAATATTAGATAACCCCCATCCACTCGTCCTCTCCCCAAATAAATACATAAATAAATAAGCCCCTCATAAAGAAAAGCACAGCTCCAGCTGAGATAAACAATGACTCATGATTCTCTTCTCTTGTACCTCCAGGGCAAAATGTTTATTTTATTCCCACAGTCTGCCATAAATTAAGCTAACCTGCACCCATAAAACATTCACTATCTCAAGCAAAGCTGCCCCTGAGGACCTCCGCATAAGCTGGTCGAAGAGTGAAAAAACAAGAAGAGGAGGGGAGCGAGCCTGTGGTTGATATTGACTGTTTACTTACTTGTGTCCACGGTTTCTTCCACAGGTGTGAAGCCCTCTGGCAACGCGTCCTTAATGTCAATCACCTTCATATCCGCAACAACGTCAGGCCCCTAAAAGACAGAGCAAAGGCAGGGAATGTAAAGTGATGTATGCAAATTCAACTTTTAAAAGGACAGAGAGCAAGAAAAAGAAAAGGTTAGTAATTTTTTGTAGGACTTGGGAAAGAAAATGTAGAGATAATAAGAGTCAATGATTTACTAAAAGCTCGGGATGTCTCTAAGGAGAAGGGTTGACAAAATAGCTGAAGTAATTACTCTCTAATAGCTTTTTTTTTACAATGAGAGAATGCATCTGTGAACTTGTAATGACTCTCAGCCTTTTGGCGAGAAGCTGTGGGATGATGGGAGGCAGAGCAGCCAGTCTAATCAACAGAATGGGACTGGTTTAAAACAATCAGGGACTGTGTAGTTGACATTTTCAAGCATGACTCTTCCCTGCCTCCCATTACATTTTCATTTTTTGCCATAATAAATTGCAATAATACACAGCGGCAGTAGAGAGTGGGGCGAGCCAGGCGTGACTTGATGCGTCCGAAAAGGCTGGATTTCACTGCTACTGTTGCCCGACAGTCATTACCATTAGAGACATTTTTTATTCATAGTTTTTATACTGACTTAAGGAGGAATATGGATGAATGTTATTACTATGCATGGAACCTTTTTTAGTGTTTTCCCTTTTTCTGGAGAGATTTCTTCCATCAGGGCCTGACAAAAAGGGGCTTTCTACCTCCAACATAGAGTATGATAAATCACAAACTATTTACTCCCCTCAGCCCTCTTCGTAATTCAGAGGCTAATTTTACAGAATCTGTTTTTGTCATAGACAATTACAGTGGGAGTTCCATTGACTGGCAGACAAAATAGCCTTTGTTGATGGCTCTGTCATGTTTTATTTGTGTCAAAGTCTTTAAAACAATCTGGACACAGATTTTAAGATAATATACAGGAACTAGGGAAAGGCTATTTGTATGCTATATACTAAACTGAGGACCAAATTGAGCTCAAGCACGAGGCAGCCGCTGCCAAGTTGCCTGGCTTTTAGAGGACATATTGTAAAAAAAAATTAAATTGAGCTGATGCAAAATAATAACAAAAACTTTGTTGCAACAGTGTCTGCAATATATATCTGCAACCAATGGAAACAAATTAATTGATAGCCAATAGCTGTATGAGCTGAGGTTAGACAGGTTGATAATCCTGGAGATGTAAGCAGGTGTATTTATGGCCATAGAGCAGCTGACAGGCTTGCAACAACACATGAGCTGCAGGCTACAGGCAGGGGATGAGTCCAAAAATGACCCAACAGCATTATGAGAAACATTCAAAGATCATTTCAGCCACAGAAGAAAATTGGGTGCTCTATTTATAGCACAATCATACTGAAATGTGCTTTTTACAGGATAATTTCTTACATTTCTTAAAAAGAAGTATTTTCATATTCACAATTATTTGTGCATGATCTTTCAAAAGGCAGTGGTTGGAAACCATTTTCTCTACAGGGACGCTGTTGATTGAATAAATTGGAATTGTTAAAATACAGCTCATTGTTATTTCATGAATAAACATAAATAATATCCTCAGGAGGACGTAAAACATAAAAAATATCTCATCAAGGTATTATTCATTTGGAATATGTATGCAAATTCCTTATATGTAAAAGTTCAAAACTGCACTGCCAACGCTGGCCTTTTTAAATGGGACATTCACTGATCAAAGTGCAAAGTGCATAAAGATATTCTGTCAGGAGAAAACTGAGCTAATAACCGCTGGCAAACAAAAAAGGTAAGTGAGATAGGTAAGATAGGTGTTAGTGCAGAATACGTACGGGAAGGGAGAAGTTTACATTCACACTTACAGTTTTTCTGGTGAAACAGAGGTAGCGAGTGACCTTGGATTTGAATAAGCCGTCCTTCCACAGGTCGGCGTCAGAGCCATCTGTTGTTTGTGCAACCTACATGAAAAAAAACAGAGAAAAAACAAGGAGAAAAAAAAAACATGCAGGAGGTGGGATAAAGTTAATGTATGTATGCCATGAGCGTGTTTCTTTTGCCTCTTCCTTTGCATACTAGCCTTAATTAACGCTTGCCAACACTAGCGCTCCATCTCATTAGTGCTCTGCGTGGGTAAAGGAGTCTTAGCCTCCAAAAAGGTGGCTAAAAATATCATCCCTCGGGACCAGGCTGATTAAAGATGCCCTGACAAGGATCTGCTCTAATAAGGAAACCAAACTTCAATGTGCTTCTGTGGGAAAGCAGGGATTATATTTGGGGTAAATGTGGAATGTCTCTTTTTTAAAAACCTGCTGTAGTATCCTTTGAGCACGACACAGGTAAACTGAGAACATTGCACATGCACCTTAAGTAGTTTTACTGCTCTACCCCCCATGTGCATCTTTCTGTTATTTAACGAGACAAGTCTTCTGAGAATAAATTACTGAGGATTTGAAGCAATTTCATGCGTATGCCTTAATAAGTCTAAATCCAAAGACCTAAGCAGCTTGTCCTTGTCCGATAGGCTCATTCATAGTTGTAAATGATCAGTGGAGCCAGTATAAAAAATAGACTGCATCATATTGACAGCATGTGGGCAACACGAGTTAAGCTCAAGGTCCAACACTACATTGCTATGTAAATGTAGGTATGCAGGGCAGAATGATAAAGCAAAATATAACCTGCAGACTGCATCACATACACTCCTGTCGTTCCAGCAAATATGCTTGGCTGAAGCGTCATGTTCCATTGGCTATCATGTGAGAATAACCTAAATAACTGCCAGAGTTATTTTCTAAAGGGATCCTTTACAAAGAAGAGTCAATCTAATGAGGTTCATTCAAATGAAGAAGTCATAGATCTCTGCACCCACCCACACACATTACCCCCTTGACAATAATGATGAATGACCTCGGTGACTGGGTGGGGAAAACATGGCATGGGGAGATTCATGAAAAACCACCACTGACTAGATGGGATGAGAGCGGAGACTAGACTGGGGAACAGAGATAGATAGTGGGATGAGAGAGAGAGAAAGAGCAGAAGATGAGCCGGGAGAGGGATTGCAGGGCGTCTCCAACAGCAGTTCCATGAAAGGTCCCAGAAGGAGCCTATACATCACCAGCCTCCCTCTTCCTTACAAGACAACCCGTCTTGGCCACTTTTTCCAGGTCAGTAGCCAGCGCATCCTGTCAGCGTAAACAAAGGGCTCGCTTTGTGAAACCCAAAGTCAAGTTGAGGAGTAACGAGGGCACGGTCCTCCTAGGAGGCACCTCAGGCATCATCCTGCCACAGCCGCCGGCAGCAAGGATGCGATGCAGCTTGAATGTGAAATGCCAACTGCTGAGCCACGGCAGAAAAGGCATGTGTAAAGTTAAGATGGCTCTTCTCTCACGCTCGTGAGTCTGCCACTGTACGGCTCCATCATTACACAGCCTTCAATGAGAAGAATGCCACATGTCTGATAGGAGACGTCATGTCTCTGATATTGAAATATGGTTGTATCATTTGATTTACAATGCAATGACAGATTCAACTGCCACTTCCTAAATCTAAAGTTTACAGTTATGAAACAAAGTCTTTAGGGGGTGCTGAATACTCCTATAAAAGATCTCTGGAGACAGACACCACCAGCAAGTTACTATGAAGCACTGAGAGGCACAGCTGTTAATAAAAAAATATAAAAGGCATACAATAAAAATTCTCAGGGGAATGAATCCAGGTGCAGAAAACATATGAGAGACACAGGGAAAGAATCAGTCCCTTCAAAGAAGAACAAAAACACTGAAGAGAGAATAATGTTTTGGATCCTTTCTCTCAAGTGAAAATAGATAAACTGACTACTGACTATATATTAAAGAACTAAAGCAGCAGTTACTTTGAAAATGTTCTATGACATTCGGTAATAGTTTGACGTTTTGGGAAATGCGCTTACTTGCTGAGATTCAGATGAAAAGACTGATATAACTCTCAAGTATGTGCATTTAGTGTGGAGCTAACGTTACATCCGTGCAGTGATCAGCCTAGCTTAGCTAAAGCTAAAGAGTGGAATCAGGCGGAAACAGCTAGCTTGGCTCTAAGTAAAGAAATAAGCCTGCATGCAACTCCAAAGCTCACGTATTAACACACATTAACACATTAGTTTAACCCCTACAACAACAAAAATGTAATAACAATCAAACCAGCTCTCGGCAAGAAAGCAAATAAGCTTATTTATGTATACATCAAACTATACCTTTAAAGTATGCTCATCTTCAAAAACGGACAAGCAGTTATTATGCATGTGAACTAAGACATTCTGGCTAATCATAATTTAGTACTAGGCTCCTTCATATAAACATTCAGTAATGAGTTTGAGCAACATGTTGAATGCTCAGGTGAATCTGAAACCCAGGCATTTCCCCGTTGGAACCATTGCACACAGTGTGGGAGTGCGTGAGTCTACTTATGGCGTTTGATGTTGGGTGGCTGCTGGTACTTCAGCAAAGCTCCTGATCCCAGTGGAACGGTGTTTGATCTGCGCCTGTGCTCTCTTGTGTTGGAACAACCTGCTCAAGTTCAGAGATGTGAGCGCATCGTATCATAGAGCAAAAGAGTTAATCAGCCCTTTGATCTGCTGTATAAAATGTATGGTAAGTATGGTAAGCAGTCGGTATTAAGGAGGAATCTAAAAGAAGTCTAGTATGAAAGGGGGGGAAAAAATCAATACAGCATAATATGCTGAGACTTCCCCTTCTCAGTGCCGCATTAGTACACCGATGCAGAGTGCTGATATTTTTGTTTGTATTTCAAGTCTGTAGATGAAAGACCACATAGTGATGTTCAAAGGAAGTTCCTGAAGATGGAACAAATGCATTTGAAACAGTGCTTCAGAGTCTGAAAGGCCTTGAATTATATGTCGGAGGCTAACTTGTACTTGACTTTTCATTCAGAGGTATGATTTTGATATTGTATTACCTTGAATGATGTTTTTGTTATTTTATTTTACAAAAGAGAACTAACACAGACTGAAATATATCACTAAATATGTATCAAAGATAGGCTTTAAGCAACCTGGAGTGTAGCCCTGTTTTCCTACAAACACGTGTCCTATTAAGGACAAACATGCCACACAGACAGCGATGCCACATTCATGACAAACAAGTACAAGACTACGAGTCTACAGCCAAGCTAGCAGCGTTGTGAGGCTACTTAGGCATTGCAGTGATTTCAGCTAAATGCTAATGTCAGCATGTTAACAAACTCACAATGACAATGCTGAGTTGCTGATGTTTAGTGGGTATGCTTTTTATGATGAAGGAAGTCAGGGACAGGGGATCAATTTAGCATAAATTTGTTCCTATTATATATTTATATATATATACCATTGGTTTACGAACGTGATGATACACGAGAACAAGATGAAAAGATTTTTAACAGTATTTTGAAGAAATATGAAATGCTTATATATATGCTTATAATATGATTAGAAAATTGGAGCATTAAGCACATTTTCTGCTCCAAGTTATAGTCTAAATGTCTTTATTTATATTGTATATATGTATATATATTGTTTCTTCTGTAGTTAAATTGCATTGCATGTGCACATTTTATTTTGCAAATAAACCTTTCTCAAAGCATTTTCATTTGTTAGTTAAAAGTTCTTGGTGCAAGCTATTGTTCAGAACATTTTTAACAAATGTGGGGGCACATCCCCAGTGTAAATGACACCAATGATTTTTGGGGCAATAAATGAAATCACTATGCAAGTGTACATGGTGTTTTTAATAAGCAAGGTAAATGCGACATAGTTTGTGACATGATTAATCTGCAATAAAATGTAGATTCAAAATGTTCTAAATGTCTAAAGTTCCTAATAGGTCATGAATTTCCAGGTAAGCCGCTGAACTCTGACCTTTCGAGTGACACCAAATCCACTCAAATCAGACGTCTGTTTCACAGCCTACAATAGCCAACGAGAGCCCGCGCTGTAAGGAAGGGTCAAACTTGTCGCAGCTGATTGGGTAACACCTGTGACACGACAACCAAACGGGAGAAAACATACCTCGAAGCCCATTGCGGAACGTTGCACAACGTTGCAAGGAAACACGTCGTTCAATCTGAAAACGTTGCAAACCGGTGCAAGACGTTTTGAGATTGAACTCGCCCCAGCTTTAAGAAGGAAGTTCATGATCAACCAGCAAAAAAAACGCCGATGCTGTTGTATAAGAAAATACGCTAAGACATACACTTAGAAAAACCTGTGTAAAATAGTAATTTTTCATGGTATTGGTATAAAATTTGAACTTGAACTAGTTAAGGCTTTATGCCGTGGCCTTACAGTGTTTTCCAGCTAATAAGTCCCAGCTATAGTTGTCTGCATACATTTGTTAACAAGCATTTTCAAGCAGAAAATGAAAATATATTAGTTTTAGTGTGTTTAAACGTATATTAATCAATTCCAGTAGCACTCTTTTGGGTTAGACACTCCAGAGTGTTATCTTTCAGAGAAGCCCAAAACCATGCATATTCTCCAAATGGTTCAAGAGCTACATTCAATTTACTTTGGATATGCCTTGAATAGGCATTTTGCAGGAATGTTAAGAGGTTAACTTACCATAACTAACTCTTTTTCATTATAAAAAACATTGATTCAGCTCAGCAAATTTAAAAGTGTGATCCTTTAGTACATTTTTGCTTGATTTTTGGAGAAAAATGCACCAGCCACCACTGCAATGCATTAACAGTTACTTAGTCGCTATTAATATGTCTACACTTTCATTATCTTAAGTCCAAACTATTTTCAGACTTCAGACCTCTGGTGTACTGCCTGTGGGTCAACAAAAATTATACACAATTTACTGAGCATCTATTACAGAGATAAACCAGTGTCATTAGTAGCTTTTAGCCCTACAGAACATGCACGGTATTTGCACATCAACTGTATGGCGTACTGGAGCAGCAGGAGGAAGTCTGATGGGGCTTCTCTCTGTTTCTCACTATCGTGTGGTGTGTATGCAGTTTCCCTGCCAGTGGCTTCGTTCTGATGCCAACCCACCATCATCTGCCAGAGATTAGAACAAGCTGGGTGTGCAGGGTGGAGCAGGAAGAGAAAAAAAACTGGGGGAAGAGGGAAGGTTTGGGGGCGTAGGGTGAAACCAAGAAGCCTCAATAGGAAGAGCAAGAGAGGAAGAGCAATCTGCCCTTAAGCTTGTTATGTGTTTTGTTGTTTAACTCACACACTCTCTTCTCTTTTCAACCCTCTCCAAGTTTTTCATAACAAAGAAACGTTCACACAAACCAGCCAATCCTGCACTACATCTTTACAAATTCCGATTAGTGTTGAAGTTGTTGTGGTACTTGAATATGAGGGAAACATGGGGGTAAACTTAAAAGACTCTGGTGGGCATCAACCAAACATCATTAAAGCTTTGCCTCTGGTGTGTGTCTGTAATACTGGTGGCAACCACTAACAACGGCAGGAAGGGAATCTTCCTAATCATCAAAGTAAACTTTATGAATAAGTTATCCAACAGCTCTAACAAACAACACATCGGAAGGCTGCCAGCATCCTGGCTGGAAGTTATGCTATACAATCAGTTACAACAATTACATGCATTACCAACAGTAGAGAGAAAAAACAAAAAAACTTCAAAACTAATCACAAAAAAGGTTTCGATTTCAGATTAGACTTTGGCTCAATGACATTTAGGCCCTCTAATAATGCTGGCAAAAACATTTGAAATCATTTTTATTTACTTTTTATTTCACCTGTGGCTTTGACACAGTTAGGAGTGAATCCAATCTTATTAAACTTAAGTATATGTTTCCAGAGCAACAATATACTCACAACACAGTAGCCATCAGGGACCTTGTTGAGTGAAGTGACTACTCCAACTGCAGAGATGGGCTCTGTGGGCAGCTGGTTGCTCAACTCAGACATGTCGAAGCTGCGTTAGAAAAACAAAAGAGCCTCATCACACTTTTGGCATTTCACCAGAGAAAAATATTACATGCATATTTTGTTTTGTTTTACTTCTGAAAAAGATACATCGTGCAAATCAGTGCAATATTTGCTTATACGGTACATGTATATTTTGAGTGGTAAAGTGGTAAAACACCTTGAAACACTTTGAATAAATATGCAAAATGCTTCATCTCATTGTACAAACCTGTGTTGTAAAATGATAAATAAACCTACCTTGTAAATCCACTGTGTACCTTGTACTTTGTAGTGAAACAAAATGAGCATTGCACCCTTTAGGGTAATTACATGGAGAATGGACAAGGGTTTTCTTGGCTAAAATGACCACATTATTGACTTCTTGATGAGGCTTATTAGGATCTAGAAGAAAAAGTGGCCACCTAATCCAGGATCAAATGACAAGTGAGACCATTGACAAAACAGCATTTGGAGACCACCCAATGACTTCACCAAATCATAAATTAGGTGGAGTGATCACATATTTTCAAGGAAGTCCCAATCAATTGCTATCTATTCCTGTCTAAGGGAATTTTTCCCTAATGGGTATGCAAGCCTTTTACAGGGTAAGTGGCTTTGCAATGGTTCCCTTACGCAATTGTATTAGATTAGGTTTAAAGCATTCTTGTACTAACTGACAAAGTTGCTGCATTCAATCTTGATGTTTACGAAATCTATTGCAATTAAGCTGATCAAATTAGGGGATTTACTCCAGAAACAGCTGTCTCTTTAACAAATGTTACATAGCTGTACTTATTCAAATGAAACAGGATAGCAAATTAGCTAATAGAATGAAGGATCTCTTTCTAACATTAATTTGTTCAAAATGAGCTTTGTTTTCCAGCACAACATCAAGGCTTAGAGACTCAACCAAGCGGACCACAGACAAATCCATCCAAACTTATTTCCAGCTCCCAAGGAAAATGTCCTTGTGTATTACATGGTATACAAACTTCAATAGTGTGCCTGTGATATTCACTATTAGGTTTATACAGTAAACATTTCATCTCCATAATTATTAGGCAGTACAGGCACATAATATAGAACATGATATTAGCAACTGCGAGGTTTGCTTAGTCTTCCTAATTATTTGTTAATCAACTATTACAAAATGCGTTGAGAAGATTTAGCATAACGTTAACGATGACTTGGTCTAATTTCTTATTGTGAGCTGCAGCCATCGCCTCAGCGTTGAAAAGCTGGAATAAATATAAGTTAGGGAAAGCCAAGGAGTTAACATGTCACTAGTTAGCAGGCTAGCTAACATTTAATATGTCTATGAATAGTCTAAGTTTGCTGTCATCATGAAGATTACATTAATTTTTTTTACTCTTGTGTCATTCGTGAAATAAGTAATGGAACAGTCTCAGTAAAAACTCAATGGCCACTTAAACAGTAAGATACACATTAGGAGGGGCCACAAAAATAGTGACTAACATGCATAAAGGTAATAATAATGTGTTGTGCTGCTAAATGTTTAACTATACATCTTTGTTGGCACAATGTCTGTGTCTTTATTCGGCTATGCACGAACTTAGCTAACGTTTTTCATTAATAAGCAATAAGTTTACAGGTAAGTCAAGCTATATGACATAACATTATGACTGTGATACATGTTTCACAATGGTCTACCTGAGGACTCACGACAGCCACAACTGTGCATTTTGCTAATACATATGTATGTTTGTGTAAAACAAATAAGTTAATAGTAATTATTATAAACCCACCAGGAAGCCCCTTTCGGGAGTGAAAGTAAAATCCACAAAGGTTGTCGTTTGTTTACCTGATTGAAACGTGTGGTCTCCCGAGTGCTGACACCTTTTTTAAACTTTGGACTTCACCTCACGCGGACCTGCAGAAAGTAAATGCTTCCGGGTACCACTGCACTGATAATAAATGATTAACCAAAACCCAATACTTGAATGACCATGCTAGCAATTGCCCTTCTTTGTAGAATCTGCATATGTCATTTCCCCCAGGAAAATAAATAAATATTTAAATAAAGCCATTTTAAATTCTGTTTACTTATCTCAGTAGATAACTTTTAACCCTCCCACCCCAATGCCCCCCTCCCTAAAAGCCCTATCTTCTGATTAATAACATCTTAAATCTCACAATATCTTGTGATTAATAATTTCTAACCGAGCCTGCAGTGAAACTTATTAACTGAGTTTTAAAAATTATTTTATTTTATTATTTATGCTTATAGCTACCAAGTTGCTGATAAAAATACAAGATGCTGCTGAGTCAATGAGTGCAGCACAAAAGCACATTTACATGTAATTCAACAGATGAGAACATCTTATGAAAGCACCATCAGAATGTTAAATGTGCCAATTTACTTTGTCAGTGTGAATTGTCTATACAAAGAGAATAAAGGCCTGGGCCAACAATGCCACTTTGACTCGTGGGTGTATTTCTTTGCAATAACTTTTGAGATCCAATTTGGCTATGGTAACTAAATTAAGATTGTGCTTCACCAAATGACTATCATTACATGGATGTATCTACGGGTCACGCCTTCTGACAGTTGGTCTCTCTAATCATCACATGTCATTACTGTAATCAGATAAAAGTAAGATAAAGAGCAATGTATTAGCTTAGCTGTAACATTAGGATGTACATCTCACAGAGTACAAAACTTGAAAGCCTCTTTGTAGACTGTCCAAAACACCAAGGGGCGACAGATGCTTTCCCATAGTCAGGTTTATTATTTCTGCCCCCATCATACCAATCAAATAAATTATTTCACTGGGCAACTATTATCCTAATTCATTCAAATCAGAGACTTGTTGCTCTGTTTTCTGACATGGTGCCATATGCCAGCATGGTGTCTTCATTGGGGCCACACACTGTGAAATGTGTTTATTGCCTTACAAGGCTGCACATGATCAGTTTCCCCTTTTTTACATCACTTCTATAATTAGTGCAGAGAATTTCAGAACTGCCACCTCATATGACCAGCAACTTTTATACGTCCAAATTTACTGTTAATGTTAATTAAAGTGGCAAAATTTTGCCTGTGTTTGCTGACAAGTGTTTGGGTTAGTATCTAATTTTTTAATTTTAGAAATTCTCAACAGGCAAACATAACACTGTCTGCTTTTCCAGCCCTTGTATCTATTTTGATTTTAGATGTCTCACTGCTATAGCAGCCTATATTTAAATGCAATTTAAACAACAGGCCTGCATGAAACAAGCTGCACCAGTAACTTGCCTGCTAGCTGTGCACCTTCCTGCTGTTATGATGCTGGATTTTGTCTTTTGCAAAACCACCTGACACTATCGTCCAGTCTTTAGTAAATTTAAAGGTACAGTTGGAGATAGAGAAGATCAATCTCCCCAGATTTTTGAGGAGTTTTTCCCTAATTCAAACAACGGTCTAAGGATGGAGAGTGTCATATGCTCTTGAGATTACAAAGCCCATTGAGGCAAGTTGATGATTGCTGATATTGGCTATAAATAAAAGCTTGTACCTAAATATAAAGCGACCGATGCTTAACTGGTGTAGTCATGGACTCAGACCTGAATTTGAGGAGCCATATTAACACAATTACAAAGTCAGCCTACTATCACCTGAAGAATATATCAAGGATTAAAGGACTTATGTCTCAGCAGGACCTGGAAAAGCTTATCCATGCATTTATCTTCAGTCGACTTGACTACTGTAACAGTGTCCTTACAGGGCTCCCTAAGAAATCCATCAGACAGCTGCAGCTGATTCAGAACGCTGCTGCTCGAGTCCTCACTAAGACCAAAAAGGTGGATCACATCACTCCAGTTCTGAGGTCTTTACATTTTCTTCCTGTATGTCAAAGAATTGATTTCAAAATCCAGCTCTTGGTTTATAAAGCACTAAATGGTTTAGGGCCAAAATACATTTCCGATCTTCTGCTTCGTTACGAACCATCCAGACCTCTCAGGTCGTCTGGGGCAGGTCTGCTTTCTGTCCCCATAGTCAAAACTGAACAAGGAGAAGCAGCGTTCAGTTATTATGCTCCGTATATTTGGAACAAACTCCCAGATAACTGCAGGTCTGCTGAAACAGTCAGTTCTTTTAAATTAAGACTGAAGACTTTTCTTTTTACCATTGCTTTTAATTAAATATTTAAGATTTTTCTTTTTATTGACAACTTACACTGCACTGTAACTTTTACTGTCCTGTTTTCTTTTTCTTTGTTTTTAGCTTTTTATTATTTCGCATTTAACTCTTTTAACCCTGATTGTAACACTGTAACTTTATGTTGCCTTTAAACTTTTACATATTTCCCTGTTGCTTTTATGTTTTATGTAAAGCACTTTGAATGACCCTGTTAAACTTAAATAAACTTGCCTTGCCTTAACTTAGCACAAAGACTGGAAACAGTTAGCCTGGCTCCATACCACTGTTTCCAGTTTTTATGCTAAGCTAAGGTAACTGACTGCTGGCTGTAGCCCAAGCTGCAACCTCTAGCTCTCACGAGTGAAGCCATCCAGGAAGTAACCTACATTCTTTGTAACAGCCAGCAGGAGGGCGACTCCTGTGGTTGCAAAAAGAAGACTGGTTCCGTTGGAAATAATGGTGAAATGACCCTACTTCTTACCTGATTTATTGCCTCAGTAAACACTTTCCTAAAGAGTTTATGGTCTCAGTCGCCAGTTTCAAGTCTACCTCAATACAGCATGATGTTCATTTAGTAAATTATAGTACCATTTAGGGAAATATAGACGATGAAGCACCATATGATTTAGGGCAGGACTACCTTGTGATTAATAAGTCGCTACCATGGTGACCTATCAATCAGGCTAGAATGACCTGTATCCACTGCACTGTGTAAATTTATCCAGCACCATTGAACAAGCTTCTTAGGAGTCGCCTGTTCACCTTTCCGGAAAGCATGTTTTGTTTTAAGCCTGTTTTTAGCTAGCCAAAATAAAAAAAAATCAGCATGAAGGTGGCCAAACTCGAGGCTTCACAACAGCAGTCCACAAACCAATGTGTCACGGTGACTTCATCCACTTCTTTAAGACAGTCTATGCTGTAGCCTCATTTTAATGAACAGACCAATCCTGTCACCTAACTCTTGACAAGAAAGTGTAAATGTCTCAAAATATCAAACTATTTAAGCTGTAGTCTTGCAGTCAAAATTGTAAAAGTGTATCTTTGTGTGTACTAAACTTCTTAGTATTTCACTTAATAAAGTTAATTGAGAACATTTGGCTCTGTTTTTTTGTTTTTATTTGTTACACACAACTGCAATAGCTTACTGGGTTTCTTTGGCCTTTGTGTGTACTGTATATCAATAAGAAGGTCATAGTGATAGTCATTAAAATTGAGCATTATTGTATATGGTTAAGAGAAGAACAACTATAAAGATACCAACCTGCTGCTGAGTAATTTTCTTTAGATTACATTCCATAGCAGCGTATCATGGATGTCTGTAGCTTCATGTCTTGATATCACAGTCTATGATCAATATCAGTGACAAATGTTATAGCAGAGAAATTCACATAGTGGAAGAGGATTTCTTTTTACAAAAGTCTTACTTTATCAGTTACTGTAACATCCCCCACCATCACCACCACCCACCTCACACACACATATACAATCTTACACATGCTTCCACATCAAGGTGTTGACAGCCTACTAAAACAGACATGCTCATTTTATGTTGAATTTGTGGCAGTGCGGAAGTTGATAAGATAAAATCTCAGGTGTCAGTGAAAAAAAACAACACATGCTCCGGCTGAGAAGAGGTACACCTGCTAAAGTAATGGTCTAATTATGGAATAGGTGATGAAATACTTGTTGAGAGTCTAGCGATATCAGCAACACATGCTAACTGTGAAAGTCATCAGCTATTACAGTGTTTTAATGTGCGGCACATTGCATGCTGAGGATTGTGGGGTAAGATGAATGATGGCTGTGGCAGATTTCTGTGGGGGAGCAGCCAGTGTAGGATGCATAACATTATAGCTGGCATTTTGAAAAGGTTCATTAAAACTGTAATTTCTTTGTTCACACTTTGTTTCATTTATACTTTATGGCACATCTTAGTTAAAGTCGACCCCATAAACACTGGATCATCCCATAGTGTACAAAATATCATACACATATTCTGGTAAGCCCTTAACAATGTTGTAGATGTGAGTGGTAATCAGTGGATGACAGAAGAGCCACTGGACCAAAATTATACCTCAGTGAACGACTTTGCACCCAAATGTTAAAAAACAGCAAAGGTTTTCTTTTCATGTGTAAAGGTCATTCACTGTGTTTTGTAATTTGCTGACACTAGTCTGGGGACTGAAGATGGAGATTCCTGCGTTGCCACCCCGAGAGTAATAATATCCCTGTCTCAACTTGGGAAATCTACTGCGCCCCAATGTCCCCGTCACCCGTATGAACCCATTATGGGCTGTGTAGAAATCTGCAGGTCTCATTTCATATATGACCCCCCCCCCCCCACCCCTTTTCTGTCTGCACATAAAAAAAATCCCTGTGTCTCCTGAATAGCTTATAATAACAAGCTTTAAGAAGCCTACCCTTAGTGCCCCCATAGGATACAGCCTTGCAAGGCTCCATAATATAATGCTTTGTTTCTAATTAAAGGTCAGTTTGGTCCAGTCTCAGTTTGGTCCAGTCTCTTGTTGCCTTGGCTGAAAAATCTCCTGAAACATGATGGCTTTGCCAAATGTGATTTAATTTGCCGTTTGTGCCATCTGTTTTCTTGGCTAACGCACCAAATTGCACAAGTTGAAAATGTAGGAACTGTCAAACTGTTCATTTTGTAATAATTTTCACATTTGTAGTTAAAAATAAATCACATCCAAAAAAGAACAGATTTCTTAAAATCCCTATAGATAATATATACCCTTCTAAGGTTTTTTAAAAAAAATTATTTGACA